CCATAAACCTGTAACTGTGATTAGACAAATCCAAGGAGGGTAAATCTGCAGTTACACATGATGGCTAAATTAAATCCCCAGTAGCATCGTCAACATCACCTTGAACATCAGGACATGAGCTGTTGTGCTCATGTCCTGCTTGTGGCCTTTATAGAGACCCCCTGACAGACTGTTTTGGACTGAGCAGATTAAAATATTCAGGTTTACCCTGATGTAGATGCAACATCATTCGGAGTTTCGGAATGAGATGTTATCTCTATGCAGATGATGTCCAAATCTGTCACTCCTTCCCACCTGTCACCAAGGAGGCTGTCCAGACCTTGAACCGGTGCTTGGCTGTTGTGTCGGACTGGATGAGAGCTAACAAATTGAAATTGAATCCAGACAAGACAGAGGTCCTACTGGTCAGTCGTAAGGCCGAACAGGGTATAGGGTTACAGCCTGTGTTACACGGGGTTACACTCCCCCTGAAGACACAGGTTCGCAGCTTGGGAGTGATCCTGGACTCATCGCTGAGCCTGGAGCCCAGGTCTCGGCGATGGCCGGGAGAGCTTTTGCACAATTAAAGCTTGTGCGCCAGCTGCACCCGTACCTTGGGAAGTCGGATCTGGCCACAGTGGTCCACGCTCTTGTTACATCCCGGATAGATTACTGCAACGCACTCTACATGGGGTTGCCTTTGAAGACTGTTCGGAAACTTCAATTAGCCCAGTGGGAGGCAGCCAGATTGCTCACCGGAGTGTCATACAGGGAGCATACCACCCCCCTTTTGTGTCAGCTCCACTGGCTGCCGATCCAGTTCCGAGCACAATTCAAAGTGCTGGCTTTGACCTACAAAACCCTACACAGTTCCGGCCCAGCGTATCTGTCCGAACGCATCTCCCTCTACGTCCCACCTCAGAGTTTGAGATCCTCTGGGGAGGCCCTGCTCTCGGCCCCGCCTCTGTCACAAGTGAGATTGGCGGGGACGAGGAGCAGGGCCTTCTCAGTGGTGGCCCCTCACCTATGGAATTCACTCCCCAGGGAAATTAGATCAGCGACATCCCTCCTTTCCTTTAGAAAGAAATTAAAAACATGGATGTGGAACCAGGAGTTTGGGCAATCTGGCAGATAAATAAAGGACTGCAACGACGGATAGGAATAGACAATGTGGAAAGAAGTATGGACTCTGAGTTGGCGAACGCTGTGCTTGAGATTGGCTATTGACTGTGATATATATTGTTGTTTTAATTGTTTAACCGTTTAACTGCTGTTTTTATACGTTTATTGTATTATTGTGTAGGCATCAAATTGTGCCATTTTGTAAGCCGCCCTGAGCCCTCCCTCGGGGGTTGAGAAGGGCGGGGTAGAAGTATACGAAATAAATAAATAATAAATAAATAACTGATACTGAGCCAGTGGGAGTAACTTTGGGGTTTCATTTGGTCAGTTATAATGGACACAGTATGGATCCCAGGATAATCCCCATATCCATAAAGGATATGTTCCTGGACTTACTATAGAAATGTAAACACTGCAGATACTAATGAACCTATTGAGGGCCTCCCTGAATCCCACCATACTGGAGAACAACCAATTCTGGTCAAGTTACTGGAGTATATGATGGCCTTCCAGCTCCAGGGTTCCTGGATGAGGCAGATTGTCCAGATCCAATTCAAACTAGGACAGAAACAGCTGTGGTCACCTTGCTGGATGACTTACATTAGGAACTGGAAAGAGGGAATGTGTCCTTATTGGCTCTTCTGGACCTGTTAGCAGCTTTCAATGCTATCAGTCAGTGGACCCTTCAAGGCCACATTGCTAGGAGAGGGCTTGAAGGCAATTTTACTGTAGCCCCGTTCCTTCTTGGTGGGGTGGACCAAGAAGCTGGTAATTGGGGATTCCTGTTCCACCCCAGAGCCACTAATCTGTAACGTCCCCCACGATGTGATTCTGTCCTTCATGTAACAGTAGACTCTCAGTTAATCAGCTTTCTTGGGGACTGCTAGATGCAGGATAAATGTAGTTTCTGGTTAAAAAATGGGGCCAACTAATGCTATATCCTGTATTATACCAGATCATAATCTCTGTATTGATATTGAATTTGAAATACAGCAAGCTAAGAAGACTTAATTTGATATAATATTTTATTTCTATCTAAAGTACAGCATTATTTCTTGGATTTTATTGCCAGTTGCTTGAGAGTTCCAGTTAACTGAGTCTACTGTGTTGATAAATAGTTATATGTTAAATAGCATGAGAGACAAAATCAAGCCTTGAGGGGTGAAATGGTTTGCAGAGGTTGTTCAGAATTCGGAGGTCTGAGGCTATTAGTATGCTGATGATAATACCCAACTTTATTACTCCTTTCCACTTCAATTCAAGAAAGCTGAAACATACATAAATAGGACCATAGAGTTAGAAGAGATCTCAAGAGCCATCCAGTCTAACCATGTAGGAACACACAAACAAAGCACCCCTCACAGATGGCCATCCAGCCTATGTTTACCAACACCCAAAGAAGGAGACTCCGTCACATTCCAAGGTAGCATGATCCACTGTTGAACAGCTCTTATCATCAGGAAGTTCTAGAAACTGTTTCAGTTCTAAACCAGTGCCTCCCAGATTAATACATTAAAGTTTCATTAAGAGAAGGCAGATGTGATCTTGATCAGTCAAAAAGGCAGAATTTAACCTGTGTGGATGGGTTTACACTCCCCCTATACCCTCAGACTGAGTGTGTGCTTGAGCCTGCCCTTTTAATGAGCATCTTTTAATTTGTCTCGTATTTAACTGATAGTTTGATTATATTTTAACTTTTGTATGATGTGAACTTTTATCTGTGTCAGATGACAGCCACCTTGAGAGTGAGTCACTCCCAGAAAACCTCAGCCTCAGATGGAATTTCTTCCCATGAGTGATTCCAAAGAGACACTGTTTGTTTCAGTCTACAAATAATTTACTAGCTTCCTTGAGTTGGCTGGGGAAAAGATTTAACAGAGATATAAATAAACAAAATAATACCATCATAATCTGGCAGACCATTATGGGAATAGAAGAGTGTGGGAACAGAAATAGGACCACCTGCCATTGTGGAGGTTCAGTATTGTCCACCCCATAACAAAAGCCCTTAAATGGGTTTAGACTTTGTCCCCAATCTGGCAGCATTCATTATTGCAGTGGTTCTAAACTTCCTCAATGCCGTGACCTCTTAATACAGTTCCTCATGTTGTGGTGACCCCCAACCATAAAATTATTTTTGTTGCTACTTTATAATTCTAATTTGCTACTGTTATGAATCATAATGTAAATATCTGTTATGCAGGATGTATTTCCATTCACTGGACCAAATTTGGCACAAATACCTGATACACCCAAATTTGAATACTGGTGGGGTTGAAGGGGGGATTGATTTTGACATTTGGGAGTTGTAGTTGCTGGGATTTATGGTTCACCTATAATCAAAGAGCATTCTGAACTCCACCAATGATGGAATTGAACCAAACAGAACTCCCATGACCAACAGAAAATACTGAAAGGGTTTGGTGGGCATTGAGTTTTGGAGTTGTAGATCACCTGCATCCAGAGAGCACTGTGGACTCAAACAATGATAGATCTGGAACTTGAGACCAATACTCAATATGCCCAAATGTGGACACTGGTGGAGTTTGGGGAAAGTAGACCTTGACATTTGGGAGTTGTAGTTGCTGGGATTTATAGTTCCCATGAGAGAAACAGTGAACCAAAGTCACTCCATCTCCTCTGTCTATTCTTTAGAAAAGGGCATATTCTCCACT